TAAAAAGTATTACAGTAGCCCGTGGAAGTTTCTTTGAAAAAAGATATTGAATCTGGTTGCGGTGTAGTGTTGCATATAGAGATGTATGTTTTTCTCTTAATTTTGACAAGTAACCTGTTATTACGGCGATCGGTTGTAAGGACTTAATTTCCTAGGTTCCAACGTTGTCGTTATGACCTATATCTACCGTATTAATTTAGGAAAAATTGAAAATAGTCAAATGTATTGCTAACAGTTAAGTAAAGAGACTAAGATCTAACACAAGACGTGTTCATACCAACCAACATAACCAACTCGCAACTGAATTTTTTTCCGAGGAAAAATTAAAAATGAAAAGTAGCACTTTTTTTAGATAAAATGAATTTGAATTTGGCATACGGACAAAAAGTTTTTTTAGGTACGATAGTTTGTAATTGATTGTTTCTATTTTAATTTCTTACAAATTCAAAATTTTTCCATCACAGAGAAAATAAAAAGAAATTTCTTAAATTTTTAGTTTCTTTTGCGTGGAAACTCATTAAGGACTTATGAGCCCAAAATATACCTCTAATTAACTGTGCGGCGCTAAATTAAATCTATGGACATGCCAACGGCGGACACTGCGTTTCTAGAAAACATCCGAACTTCTGTTAAGTGCCAGAGAAAATTTGGATAGTCGAACTGTCCCAGTTCATTAAGTTTTTCGCATCTGGATCTCCACTTTCTTTTTCTCGTTTCATTTTTACCGAACAACACTTCGTATTACTTTGAAAGTTTTTTGCTAGATTATTGGTACTAATGTTGTTGAATCATGTTTATATTGGGTGTGCGGAAAGTCTCTATGTTACTATAGAGTAATCTGGATTCGTCGGCACTGTTTTGATTCGGTTTGGATTCCAAAGCAACTTCCAGGGTTTTTTGGTATTCAGATGTTTTTTTTGTGTCTTTGAAAGCCTCAGTATTCCGCCTCATGCGCAGTTTCGCCTCGTTGTTCTTTTGCTTAGAAATTCCGTTTCCGAATTTGGCTCTATCCAGAATATGGTCATTATCTACGTCTATCATTCGTTGTTCGTTGTAGGCCGTATTTCCGATGTTGCACAGTGGTTTCAAAAATTAAATTCTCTGTCAAAAATCCCAGCACTTTTGGATTTGTACCAAAATTGATATCTGTCAAACAAAAACAATGTCATTTACAAGATGGCGGCTGACATTTGGTTAATTTGACAAAAAAATGCCTTCTAAAAAAAGATTAATTATAAGGGTTACGTTGAGAAACTAAATTTAGAAAATATTTACAAATTGTCATAGATTATTCAATATTTCTTAGGTAAAGTCTGTTCATAGATATAAGAAAGTGACTAACTGACACGAATTAAGGAAAGACCCGGGCAAACTGTAAAAATGTTGTATGGCCGAACAGGTACGTACTTTGCTTAGAATTTAATTATTCGGGGTTTTGTTAGGAAAGATACTAAACAATATTTATTTATTTGTGTATGTATTTACATTTAAATCTAAAATAAAATTACAAATTATTTTTATTACCTACTTAAAAAACTTAAAATGTTCTAATTATAAGCTGTAAGAATGAAATATGGCCAAACAGGTCCGTACATTGCTTAGAATTTAATTATGAGGTTTTGTTAGGAAAGATACTAAACAATATTTATTTATTTATGTTTAAATCTAAAATAAAATTACAAATTATTTTTATTACCTACTTAAAGTACTTGAAGTTATTCACATAATATATCTAATTATTATTTGTTCTATATTATTTGCAATATGGATATTCGATTGCTCTGCTTTTTCTATATATTTAACAGAATTTGCCCAACTTTGTGGAGGGATGTTAAAAACTTCGGTTTCTATAAGTTTGAGAACATTGGAGTTAACACGGGGAAAAACATTATTACGACGAATGGCAGATTTCAGTTGGTGCCAAACATGTTCAATGGGATTAAATATACAGTGGTAAGGTGGAAGCCTTAAAACTGTATGCCCTAGATTTTTTGCATAATTATCACAGAAGTAAAACCCATGTGTTGAATACACTTCCATAAGGTAGTTCTGCCACATTTAACACTGGTTTCATCTTTTTCAAGCCTCCTAATTAAGATATCTAATGTAGGCACGCTTTGTTCTCATATAACTGGTAAATTTTACGCCGTATTATATCTTGATCACTTTCATGTACAATCGAGAAAATGTCAGTATCGCTTCTTTTTTTTTTCATCGCTGAAATGGGATTATTCACAATTTTTCTTAATTTCGTTTCTTCTAAAGATGCTTGCTTGCTGGCACCACGTTCAATGAGAGTCAAATAAACATTGTTTATAACTTCCTTAGTCTCAATAGAATAGTGTTTTCTACATTTGGGCGTGAGCATCTCCTGAGATACACAAGACTCGCACATATTTTGCATAATTCACACACGATTCAACACACGAAATAATAATGATTACTAATAAACTTAAACTAAGTAGTATACCAAACCAAAGAACATTAAACACAGGTAGGTATAAAGTTATTTTCTATTACGGACCACAATTTTACCTGAATTTAAATTCCGAAACTTTAGGTAATAATAATATATAATAATAATAATAATCTTGGTGCATTGTATGTTAATTCCTTGGATAATCCCATTCAAAAGCAATTGGTCACTTTCTTATATCTATGAACAAACTTACTTACTTAAAATAAAAGATAATGCGATTCAATATATTAAATATATTTATTGTTACCAGAAGAACTAAAAGACATTTAAGTATTTCTAAATTAATGTAAATTAATGGTCTACTTAATAATTATTACTCGGAATTTAAGTATTACTAATTAAGGGAAATTTAAGGACTACTAATTATTATTCTGAATCAATCTCACTCAACTCGGAATCAATTTGAAAGTGTGAGTCAGGTAGAGAATCTTGAGAACTGCTAAGGCTTCGGCTGAAAATTGTTTCAATTTTTTCTTTGGAAGCTTCCTAACACCAGAGATATAAGGATACAAGAAGTCTATTGAAGGATACAAGAAGTCTATTGAAAACATCTTCCATTGTTTTTACACGAGAAAACTTTCTAGAGAAATCTTCATGATACTTCTTGGTAGTACCGCATTTTCTACTACTTGTTTTCCATATATTTAATACATTATTATTATTATACTGTTGACAGCTTGTAACTTTTGTGTGATTTTAGAAAATAAGAGTAGAAAATGACGCCTTCATATCTTCACGAATATTTATCGTTTTTCTACTACGTCCAGCAATCAGATAAATCGTCTCTTAGGAGACCCTTCACCATTTCATAAATGTCCTTTCTAGTATATACTAGTTCCTGGCAGAAGGAGCCTGAAACAAAGAAATATATCTTTTTTAATTTTCTATACAAGGTATCATTATTGCATGTAGTATATATCATATTTTGTGAAATCTGAAAATATAATCCGATTCTTGCTTTATTCTTTTATATACAGGATGTTTAATATTATTTTAATTGTTTTAAGTTTTAAAATTGAACCTGTGTACAAGGTTATGATTTAATTACTAATTTTCTCAAAATAAAAATGTCAGTCGATACCAACAATTATGTATCTATGTATTATTTTCGCCATACTTTCAACGCGTTTTCAGTCAGCTGTGGCTAGAGTGGCAGCTAGTGCCTGCAAAACTGCACCAAATTTAAAAGATAATAAGTCATTCTGTTAGTTCAAATCCTAATATGTGTGGCATATACTGGTATATGCTGCTTTTGGACCCTTTCTAAATAACTAAAAATCAAATTTACATACCTGATGCAGTTGCTTCCATAATGTGAGAATACTATGAAAAAACCTGAGTCAAAATAAATTCAATTTATTTTAAAAAAGAAGTCCCAATCTAAAAGTCTCTGAACACTACCACTCTCAAAAAACCCTAAAACTAAAATTAAGGTGGTAAAAGCCAAATATTTAAGGACGTTCCCATTGTTGGGAGGTAGCCGGGACCCTTTACTACCTGGCCCTTTTATTGAATTTCCCAGAATAGGAATTTTGTTTTTAAACCTACCTTTTATGACCAGTTTTCGGGCGACCACGGTGTGTTGGGTTTAAACACTTATTTTTAACGAACATATCCATTGCAGGTATATATCAAGCATAAGTGGGGCGTGTATGAGAAACGGGTGATTAATTTAATAAATTTGGTAGCAATTTCTTTCCATACTTCCGTTTTTTCCAAATACTATGGCCGAAATATTATTGTGTCTATTCATACTACTCTACAATAAATGCAAAAGTATGGTTGGTCTAATTGGAAGGAATTCAGCTAAAATGAAAATACTAAACGAAAGAAAACCACAGCAAAGGAGCGGGTGTTAAAAATACAAAATATAAGGCCTACCGAATTGTGACTGAATCGTAAGTGACTTTATTTATCATTAAACAACTTTTTGATAGCTTTTAGAAAAATATTGAACAAATTTTTTTTCTGCGGCAACCAAAAAGTGATTTTGTATCAGAGAATACGCAATATAGATTAAAATTTAAATTAAAATTAGTTATTCCCTTATTAATCTAAGTTTAAGGGCAGATTTGAAATTATATTTTCTTTTCTTCTTTGTTTTTTTTTTTTAAATAAAAGCGATCGCCGAAGAATGTCCGATTTCGCTGGATATACATTTCCAAACACAAACTAACCGAATGGTTGAGACATAAATAGATTGCATTATACGGTTAGTATATTAAGAACTTTCGTTAAGCTCGGACATCCCGAGTACATCGTCCTCGACGAAAAGACAGGCTTATATTTGTCTTGTCTTGTCGCAACGCCATTTAACATCCCGGAGTCGACAAAAGGTTTTGAAATATATCGCGTAAAACCTTTGTTGTCTCGCGGTTATAGCGGATCCGCGCGATATGTCCGGGAAATTTTTACAGTTTCTCAGAAAATTACCAGTTTTCAACATCCTCGCCATTACTTGCGTTCTCGGACTGTTTTGTCACAAAGCCGTGACTTACATCGTGATTTATCCCCTTTTCAGATTAGTCTTCGGCACTCTTTATCCCGCTTATGCTTCGTACAAGGCTGTGAAAACCAAAAACGCCAGGGAATATGTAAGTACCACCCACTTGTTTTGTTATTAATCGTTAATTTTAATACAATTTTTAATGGTAATAATGTGTGGTCAAAATTTAAAAAAAAAACATTTAATTTAAGCAATTCTTTCTCATTTAATATTATTGAAAATATTAAAATATTATATTAACAAAGGCGCTAGGCTCCATCTCAGAAAGTAATTGTAAAGACTTGGGCGTGAAGAACTATAACCAAAGCGGCCAAGAGAAAATGCTGGAAATTATTTTGTTTTTAGAACGGCCGTCAGGGGGCGTAAGCGCATTGTTTTATTTTAAATCCCGCTTTTTGAGAAATAATCTTGTATTCCAGAGAACTGAAATGAACATATTTTTTAATTTTTCAAATAAACGACTACTGTAATACTATTTACAAATCTTCTGGATTGCTCCTGTTTCGGTTGTTCATAAATCGAACTTGCTGACGTTTCGCCGATCATCCTCTTGGCTTCGGGAGTTTCAGTTAAGCTCTGAAGAAGCCAACAGGATGATTGGCGAAACGTCAGCAAATTTGAGAACGTGGTGGGGGCGTGCAAACATTTTCGAAATAGATGTCAATAACTTTAAAATGGTTGAACGCATTTCGTCAATCTTGGAATCGTCCCTTTTGGGATATCGACGCCATATTTTCTCAAAAAATTAAATAAGGGCTAACACGCTAGTAAAAACCGCACGTCGATATCGTTTTCCTAACCTATAATGTAAGTAAAAGAAATAAAAACAATAAAATGCCGCCATCTTTTCGAATCTTTTCGGTATACTTACCATAAAATATTAATATTCGCTCTTTTAGCCTTGTATTTAAAATGTCATTGTTTTAAAAATAAACACGAAACATGTCAAGCACTTCTACAGATGATAAATCCTTTTTTTTATAAAAAAAATTCTCCGCAATATACAATATAAATAGCTGCAATGATTGACACTTTAACACCGCCATTATAATTTTTACAATTTTGTTTTCCAAAGCACACTTGGATTTTTGAAATATTTGTATGTTAACAGTAAATTTAGATACACGGTGTGTTCTAATTGAATGTGAATAATTAAGGGGGTGATTTTTGGATTCATTTTAAAAAGAAAATGTCTGTATCTGTAATACCACTTTAGATATTTTAATAAAATTTGGCAAGCAAGAGGGATTATTTACCACTAGTTTTTTTAAAATACACCAGTGGTGGTCGTACGGAACTTTTCTTGTTTCGGCATTTTTCGAATTTCTCTTAAAATAAAAATTATTCTTAGAATTTCCAATCTTTTCTAAAGAAATTTAATTTCTTGTTTTTTTTTTATCCGATGTGCGATTTTCGCTAAAAAAAGAATAAAAAAAGATCAAATCAGTGGCGTGGCCTGTCTATGAACAAATAATATTTTGGTTAACTGTACCTACTGGTTAAAACGTGAACTTTTTTTTGTTAAAAATAAAATATCCATCTAAAACAAAATATCTAGTTTTTAATTTCCAACTAGTGTAAAAAAAAATTAAGACTGTTCTTTTTAGGTTTACAGCTTGTTTGAAACAACATAACATTCGCGCACGTCACTGATTTCCTTAAAAAAAAAGACATTTGCATTCATTGATGAGCAGATTTGATCTCGTTTGTTTCTTTAGAAATGATTGGAGATTGTAAGAATAATTTTTATTTTAAGAGAAATCGTAGCATACCATAAATGGTGTATTTAAAAAAAATGTTTTACACTAAATAATGCGTCTTGATACATAGTTAATGTGTGCCAAATTTTATTAATTTAATTAATTATCTAAAGTGGTATCTTAAAGTCAAGACGTTTAGGACATATGTTGATATGAAGTTTTCTATTTAAAATGGACCCAAAAATCTCCCCTTTAATTATTGGTATTCGATTAGCAAACAGCTTGTATATTTTGCACATATTACAGTGATATCACAGAATTTTTTTTTTTTGGAAAATAAATTTTACTCCTAGTAATGTTGCAAAAAGACCGCTAGCTGTAATGCAAGCATTAAACATCAATCTGCTCATGGCAGCATCAAAGTACCAAAAATCGTTTTTTATTAAGTGGCAATTTGTTTCTCAAACATTATCTTGGAATTCCCAGATAACCAGATCAAGTTTTCAAATTCCATCTAATGAATTTTAAAATATTTGTTATGATTATTAAAATCCGAATATTTCGAATACTCAAAACATTATTAATATTAAATGTGTTTCAAGAGTAACGTTACAATTTTTAGTTTTTATTGACAGTTCGGCCATAATTTGCTTGCACATATACTTGTGACATATCCCAAGGGGCAATGTGCCTTAACGAAACGTTCTATAAATATAAACTGGATGGATAAATTATTTTTAGACTGCCGCCGCCATCCAGAGGGCGACCCACATAAACCGAAAGATATTTTCCAAGACATAAAAAAGAGTTAAATGCAAAATTTTTTTCGTTTTGCTATATATTAAGGAACTTAAAATAGATTTTTTCAAAAATTTTGATCGGTAGATTTAACCACAAGTTTTCGAGTCTGCCCTAACGAATTAATATATTCTAAACGTTGCCGCTTCTAATAATAACAGATGGCAACATTGTTATCTTATATTTTGTTACATTTTGTTACAGAATCACAGCTTTCTGTAAATTATTTAGTTATTGTTTAACACTTTTCTATTTAGTGCGCTTTTCATATATATATATATATATATATATATATATATATATATATATATATATATATATATATATATATATATATATATATATATATATATATATATATATATATATATATATATATATATATATATATATATATATATATATATATATATATATATATATATATATATATATATATATATATATATATATATATATATATATATATATATATATATATATATATATATATATATATATATATATATATATATATATATATATATATATATAAAGTATTGGAAATAATTGCTCAAATATAGTTTCAAATGTTTGACAGATGGCAAAGTTTGATGCCAAAATCTTGAGATTTTTTACAAAATTTAGTGTGTTGTAGTCGTAGTCTATGACGTTGCGAACAAACGTCTTCATCGGCCCATTTCGATCCCAGTTCTCGAGATATCGGTGCTCAAAGTTGAACAAAGAGGAATTTTAATAATTTTCCTATGATTTCAATAATACTCCTTCACTTTTTTGACAAAATTGTTGCGGGAGAGTTCTGTGTATTATCTTTTTTTTTTATAAACTTTAAAAAAATATTTTTATGGAGCTTTATTTTATTATAACTAAGTATCGAGACAGGGTTCATTGGTCTCAAAACTCTTGGATTATGGAAACTAAAGACCAAAATAGCTTAGTCAAGTAAAAAGTTAAGTTTTGTCTAAATATGTAGAGGACACTCGTAGAATAATCTTTAGTGATTAATTAACATTTGCGTAATTACTTTTTTAATTTATTTTTGAGTACATATCAAGTAGAGCACATTATAAACTAAAGTTTTGAAACTTTAGCGTCCGTCTTGAAAGAGTAATTGTGAATAACAACGGTTTTCTATATGTTCAAATAGAGTCATAATTTAGAGGAAAAAAATTGAGGAAACCGTTTCGAGGGGGTATTAAACAGATATAATCAGAAGAGGGCAGTGAATCTGTGTTTAAGTCAAGAATTATTTCGATTCTCCATAAAAGTCTAACATACCTTGGACCATCTATCGCACGGTATATAGTTTCAGTGATTTGGTTTAGGACATATTTTGAAAAAATTAAAGTACTTTAAGAAGCTTTGAGGTTTATCTAAAATATGTCCTTATTTACTATAGAATTCAAAAATGTGTTAACATGCATTCGGGAAAAACAACTTTTGTCGATAATTTTCAAAAGTAACTATCAAGGGCCTGCGTTTTTGTTACAGGTGAAATGGATGATGTACTGGATAGTATTCGCTTTCTTCACTTGCACCGAAACGTTCACAGATATATTCCTTAGTTGGTAAGTACTTACCAATAGAATCGAATTAGATAACGGTAACTGATATGTAACAGCGTCAGAGTATTAAAAAGAAATGAACAATATCTGTCAAATTATAATGAATAGGTTTTTCGAAGAGGGGACACTGAAAACACTGATATTTTATTTAATCTCTCATTGCAAACACCAGAGGTAATTACATATAAAAGTAAGATTTACACATTAAAACTTGCATGCCATTGAAAGGAAAGAAGTCAAAACAGTGTGTTGTATTACACTTATATATCACTCGCACACTCAACTATTTTTTACTATTTAGAATATAATATACAAACATGATGTTTTGTCCATCTTGTCTATCGTTTAACCAATCTACTGTAAATATTTCCAAGTATTTCATATGAGCTCATAAGGGAATACGTGTTAGTTCTCCTCAGGTACGGATATTAAAAAAAATTTTACTTTTTATGTTCTAAGGGTGGACTGACCATTACAGATATCTTATTTAAGGGTATTTTTCCTGACACTCGGGATACAGTTCCTAATTTTGTTTATAGGTTCCCGTTTTATTACGAAATAAAAATACTTCTTGTGATATGGCTGCTTTCGCCCGCGACAAACGGTTCCAGTATCCTATATAGAAAATTCGTCCACCCTACTCTGAGCAAACGGGAAGAGGTAAGCAAACCCCTTATTTCCTTATTATGAACAGGTATTATGTTTCTAAACAACTAGGTTCGTGAAAATAATCTCACATGGAAATCTTAAAAGACGACCTTCGGTGACGTCATAAGACGGTAAATAAACGTAGGACAAAGCTAAATTGAAATTTATCTGTTCAGGTTGGTTTTTAACTTGAGTTTTGATTTTCAACATATTATTTCGTAGATTGCCAGGGGAGCAGAAAAAAGCTACACCTAACTTATGTCGGAAATAATTTCTATTTATTTTTTTCGGTCGCCGCGCAAGACTTGATGTTGTAAGCAAATTTGTTGCTTCAGTTAGAGGTGGCTTTATTCAATTTTTACTAGACCGTTACTGGTACTGGCACCCGCATCAAATCAATCAATAGATTGGAAAACCATTCGATTGTTAAGGTTGTTATTGCCGATGTTGTCCCAATACAACGTAGCAAATTACCATTTTTAAATAAAATTTTTGAAAAGTTTTGGTATGTGGCAGAAATGATAAGACTTAAGCATAAGTATCTTCCACAGGTAACCAAGAATTCCGGAATAATCTTATTATATCTTTAGTTTTTTCAACTACAGTTTAAACTGTATTGAAATGCATTTGATCTGCCATATTCATATTGCGGGTTCATTAAAACCGTGGTCTTTCGTCAAGTTTAATGCCAGTTTTAGCAATTTCTTAGTTTCTAGAAAAGAGTATTCAAAACATTATTATGATTCAGTTGGATCTCAAGAGAAGGTCACTTTCCCTCCCAGGTACTCGGACACTCTGTATAAAAAAATCCCAAGTTATGCATCGTTTTCAACAAGTAGATAAACAAAGAGAGTTCAGGAGCAAAACTATAACAAGACAAACAGGGTTACTCGTCGTCGATTTGTTGATGCTCTTATCGGCTCAACAGTTTCATTCAAGCCACGTTTTCTGTTATAGGAAATCGATGAATACATCGAAAGGGCCAAAGTGCAAAGCTATCGGCAGGTGCTCGATCTGGGGTCCAAGGGTGTGACAGTGCTCATGCAGACCGCTATAAAGGTAAGGGTTGCGATTATCAGGACGGCTGCGCATGATTGTTGTTTTTTTTTTAATAAACCTAACACCGCATTCAGCACAAAAGGCTTGTTTAAAGTTTATTTGGAAACTCTTTGATGCCTCTTTTTTTTGCCCTAGTTTATCTTTCGGTGTCAGTGTTTACGAGGTAGTGGCGATATTTACCAAATTATTTATCCTATGACTTTTGAAGGTCTTGCTTAGTTTTGGTTAGTTATCTGATAAAGGAAAATCAAAAATCGGAAAATTTCAGAAATCAGTAATATTCATTTGGTAAAAGTCGACATTAGCATGTTCATGTACTAATTAGATTAATTTCATCCCTGCATAGCTATCTACGATATTGAAAACCGGTAAGTGAGAGATCAAGGCAACGGGTTATTGCAAAACGTCAGAATATATTGTTAAATTAAACAAATCAAATGACATATTATTGTTTCTTATTCTTTTATTACACAACGGTCGAACAGCAACTATACATCTTTTTGAATTTGGTGTTGGCAGTTCAGGTTCGGTGTTCAGATAGAGAGGTTAGTGCTCTTAATTCTCTCTCTCTCCCACTAACTCGTGTTCCTATTTTACCGGTGAGTTATATTAACTAACTAATCAGCGTACAAATTACAATCCATTAAAGAGAATCGTCCAAATGGACGTCTTTGGGGGGGATATCACCCCCCAACAAATTAAAAGAATTATAGGAGATGGCTCTCACATTAATGAACTAGTTGAAAAGGAAATTATTTTGTACGAACACGAAGATGCTGGCCCCTTCATAGTCTATATTGAATCCGCGGAGAAATCTGATCGTAATATAGGTAGATTTAACAATCTTAAAATAGCAAGAGAAATTTTTAACCTTCATCTCAAGGACGTTAAAAAAATTCATAACAAAGGTAAAAACCCTATAGCGATAGAGTTTTTTAGATATGAAGCAGCCAACAATCTCCTAAAAAACCAACATATTTTAGACAAAGGTTTTAAGGTCTTCATTCCATTTAATTTTGTCACAAGTAAAGGTATTGTAATTAACGTAGATATAGATGAAGATATCGAAAAAAATTTTGAAAATATATGCAAATCTTCAGCAAAGATAATTCAAGCCAAAAGACTTAAAATAATTGTAGATAACAAGACTCAGTATAAACCAACCGGTACTGTCTTATTCACATTTCGAGGGGTTCTTCTACCAAAACACATTTACTTTTATGACCTTCCCCTTCCGGTAAACGTTTATATCCCCCCTGTCACTCAATGCTATAAATGCGTACTCTACGGACATACCAGGAAAAATTGCAAAGGAAGGGAAAAATGTTTTAATTGCGCAGACCCAGAAATGTCATTTTTGCAGAAATGAACACAGAACTACTTCGAAAAGCTGCCCCGAATTCAAACGACAGTACGACGTACGAAAACTTAACCTTCTATGATGCCAACAAACTATGCGCTAAAACCTACAATAATAATAATGCAGTATTTTCATACCAACCAAACGAATTCCCTTCTTTAAGAAATAATACGGTTAACAAGAATGAGAATTACCCATACAGGAACATTATATCCCCTTCCCAAAGACGGCTAGCAGACTTCACCAACAAAACTAAGAGAACCTACTAACAAACGGTCTCAGGGGAACCCAAACAAAAAAAAAGACTGATCCACAAAAGCTATGACAGACAGTCCCATGACGACAATATTTACTTTCCTAATTCTAGACCGGAAAGAACACACGCTACAAATTCCCCTATATTTGACGACCCAATCTACAATCAACATTCCAGAACTACCAAAGAAATTAATGCCTCAAGTAAAAGTGGCCCTCAAGACATCCCTCTGAATTTACCCTCGACCAGTACATATAATTTAAAACGATATGATGATAACCCTACTTATAGATCCATTAAGGAACTAGTCCTAAATTTACCAGAAGAAAAACAACATGAAATTAAAAACTTTATCCTTAACTATATGAACCTAAGTAATTATACGGATCTTGACGACCCTTGTTTTAATTAAATTTTAATATAACTAAATAAAATTCAATGAAAAAAAAAATACTTCAGTGGAACCAAAAAGAAGTATCAATTCAAACAGAACGGAGCTAATCTCATTAATCAGTTGCCTATAAATGAGATACCCGATCTTGATATCTACAATTCTTTTATAAAGCTGGGCATCAAAGCCCCTCTTAACATATCTGCTGTAATAATTAAACCCAATAAAAAGATTACAGATATCATAATTTCCTTTTTAAACTTTAATAAAATTAAACTGTAACGTTATATCTATCATTAATATTTTCAGAATCCATTATCTCCAACAAATCCAACCTCTATGCCCTCTTCCCCCCCATATGTTTGTATTACTCCCTTACCGAATAATTTACTCTTTATTGAGCAAAGTAAATAATATAAAACATCTAAGTGTAAAAGTAGATAAGAGTTCCCAGGAGCTCTGCTCGTCAAGCTGAGGACTCCCCTAATGAGCTGGCAGACTGCCTAGTTGCAAAGCCAAAATATTGACAAGAAGAAGAAGAAGAAGAATTTTGTGTTTTTTCTAGTCACAAATCCTTTGGGCCTTATGGGCTATTAATTATTATAATTATTATAATGTTTAATTCGCATCATATCTAAAAAAAATATTATAGTTAATATTTCTTATTGTATCATGTCACTTTTTAAATGAGTATTCCCCTATCAATCTAATATTTTTTAGTGTCGCCGTTTGTGTCGAAAAGTAGCGACAATTTTAATCATTTTTGTAAAATATTTCCCATGTTTCTGACTTTTCGAGATATTATTCTCCATATTTTTCTACCGAAACAGACCTTAATGTAAAATATTATTGCTGGTGATTTTTTTCATCGTACACAAAATTGGCAAGAAGTTATTTTTTCAAATATTTATTATAAAACACTCTCGTAGATAATTAAAAGCGCCTTTAATTCATATATAAATATCATATTTTTATACATAAATGGTAAAATTTTCGAAATAAAAGCAAAAACAAAATGTTTAACGAAATTTGAAAAGTAAAGAAAAAAGAACTGAAGATATTCAAATGAAATTCCGAAGGAATTTGTTATTAGTTAAAGAGTGTGTACGGGTTGAATTATTGCAAACATGTACGCCTGTTTGCGTATCCCGACCGGCCACGGACAAATCTGAAAAAAATTGTTCGAATAAAAACTTTATTTTGTAAAAGAGCTCTTAATTCGTTCACACTCCATAAGTAATAAAAAAAGGTTTCTTCTGAATTTATTTCAATTGATTTTTCTTCACTTTTTAAATCTCGTTATTAAAACATTTTGTCAATGTAATCTGTTTTAAATTAAAAAAATTAGCAACATGTCAAAAGTTGCTAATTATAGATTTATGAAAGTACAGTCGAAACTCTATATAGCAAAATTGAAGGGACCGCTTTTTTTTTCGTTATAGGCACTTGAAAAATAACAATACGCACACGTGTTCTATAATAAGTAATATTTAATTATTTTATATACATATTTTAACATCTACTTAGGAACATTTTATATAAATATTTAAGAACTACATTTAATGTGAAATAATACATAAAAAAAAATGTCTAACAGCTTAACTGAATATAAAGCTTGTTGAATAGTTGGTTGTGGTCTCATACCAACTCTTCATCATCTTCTTTTGGTGCTCTTCCTCATCCTTTCTTGCTTGTTGTAATATGGCTTCATCTGTCAAGTCTGCTGTTGCGGACCAATCCTGATCTATCACCATGAAATCTTGCAACTCCTCAGTTGTAAACGTAATTGTTGTTTGAAACTGCTTTATCCACTCGCTTAGTGGCTGATCATCTTCCAAGTCCTGTTCGCATTCTGTCTCGATAATGACGATAGAAGTGTTGAATCGATTCTGCTGTCACTTCTTTCCAAGCTTTGCTAATATGCATCTAGCATATGAATAGAAAATTTTTTCCTGTATCGACTCTGAAGAGTTTTTATTACGCTCTGGTTCATCGGCTGTAAAATACTGGTTGTTTTGGTTGGAAAAAATGCCTATTCAATATTGGGTAGATTTGGAGTATGGGGATGTGCAGGGAGTTATCTAAGAGAAGTAATATTTTTCTTTTCTTTAATTCTGCATCCCATTTCCGTATCTCGTCTTAAAAAATTGCGATGTCATCCAAGTAGACTTGATTTGCTAGTAAGCAACCGGCAAATGCTTGATGTTCAACTCATATTGCCAGCTACTAACACTATTATACGTTCTTTAGAAAGTTTTCCATCCACACACTTTTCGCTTCGAAATTTAAGAGTTTTAGCGGTCGTAATTTTCTAAAAATACCAGTTTCGTCACAATTAAAAATGTTGTCAGCAGGGTACTCTTCTGTTAGTTTTGGCCACGTCTTCTCCAGCCAATTGTTAGTGAAGTCTCTGTCGATATCACGGGCTGCACCACTTAAAAATGTATACAATGTCTCTGTTTGAACTTCCCCAAAGATCTTTCCGACGCCTTGAAATCGATAATGCGAAGCTGTTTTGCAAACTTTTCTGTTTTTGTTTTACGTCTAGAGAGTGGTACATATTTTTAAGACGTTGCTGTTGTAACCACTGCAACATTGCTCGATCCAAATCTTCGAATTTTGGCTTTCTTAGTTTTTTACTAGAACTGCTTGCTGCTTCGCCATGAATGATTTTTTCTTTGCACTTCGAAATTGTGGATACAGTCGGCGGTGTAAGTCCGAGAGAGGCATTAACATAATCGCTTATTACGAGAAAAATACTTAGGACGACCAGGTTCTCGGTAATTAGTTTATTAGGGTAACGAATTCTAAAAAGGTAAGAAACTCTATTAATTATTAGTCGGCTTACATTCAATACTTTGTTAGCTGATGTGCCATTTATTCTTTCGGTATACAGAGTGAGAAATTCGTTGTTCAGAGTGGATTAATATATAGCTTCTTATGGAGACCTAATAATACAACAAATTTTGTTCGTAATACAGTTTTACGTTGTA